CTTGTTTATATCGGTGATAGTTACAACTTAGCTCACAGAGGTGGGCCATAAGGCTGAGCTGAAATAGAGGAGTTTTACTGGTGTGGGCAGTATTGAAATATGCTTTCCCACAGTGTGAGGTGTGCTAGCTTTCAGACCTCTAAACTTTCTTATTTATTTACACTTTGTAACTCTCAGAAATGATTCCACCTCAGGCTCTCGGTGTCCTTCGCTTAGCAAGAGACTCATTTCTGGCTTTCTCACTTTGGGTTCTGCTGTTTTGTATCTGACTCTCCTTAAACAGAATCACTCCACAATATGATTCAGTGTGTCCTCGAAACTGTCCTTTAGCTTTTGTTTGCCTTCCTTACTCTCCTTGCCTAATTCACTAAGCCGCAATTTGGTGACTAAGTTCTTTCTTTCTTTTTTTTTTTTGTCTTAAGTTTCTATTGCTACCAGCTTCAAAAAGATAGATGAGAAAAACAAGAATAGCAAATATAATTATTGAAGTAGTACATGTTTTTGAATGTACTCTTAATGAGTACGCTTCAACTGCTTATTTCTAGTGAATCATTCTAAGTCATACAGATCATCGTGCCCGCTCCCAGAACCCACGCATCAGGAGAAATCGTTTCTACCTGGAGTGTCAAGAAAAAGGAAGGTGCTGCTACTTCAGTCCCTTAGCCTAGAAGAAGATGATTTTAATTCAATGTTCAGCTATCTTAATTGAATGCTCATGAGTCAGACATTGTGTTGAGTACTTGAAATACAGTTATAAATGGATTTCTCCCTTGCCTAGTAACAAAAAGCATGTGCGTAAGTACATTAACTGTTATAGGGAGGAAATTAGCCAGGCACTGTCCTAGGTGGAATGAGCCTCTGCAACAGGGGGTCATGGTCTTAGTGCTGTTTTTGGGAGGTGATTTTTTGATTGGTGCCAAGGAGGAAAGTATATTAATGATCATTTTATTCCACATTACTTCATTCTCTTTATTCTCCAATTTCCTTTCAGAATGGCTGTTTGCTTCGTAAAGGAATAAAGTTATATTTAAAATAATAATCTACATGTTTCTGAAATAAATATCCATTTTCCACTTGTGTTGTGCAAGTGCCACTCTTGTTTCTGGGGGCCTTGCAATGACCAAGATAAAAGACATCCCATCCTAGTACAGGCTACACCTGACAGCGAGAAACACCAGGAATGGCAAAGCAAACTGAGATTTTTCTAAGTAGCAACACATTCTACAAGAGAAGCAAGTAGGCTGATGGGGTAGGTAATGTAGTGTGGGAGTTGGGTAATGGAGGCTGGAAGTCAGGGATGCGTCTTTGGAGAGGGAGCATCTGAACTGAACCATGAGTGAAAAACAGGAACCAGCATGCAAAGAGGGAAAAGGCCCTGTGAGCTTGGCAAGCTCAGGCAACAGGAAGAATGGAAGGTAGGTATCCATGTAGTGAGCAAGGGAAACAGGGTGAGGAGATAAGGGCTCAGAGATCATCAGGAACCAGCTGGCTGGGACAATAACAAGAAGGAGCTTGACCGGACTCTCAAAGCAATGGGAGACCACTGGGAAGTTTTACCCAGAGGACTGGCTTATCTGATTTGTATTTCTAAAAGCTTTCTTTAAACAAATCAAAGTGAAGGCAGGAAGGGAGCAGCAAGACCCTTTAAAGGCCACTTCTGGGGATCCAGGCCAAAAATGATGCTGATATTAGCTTGGGCCAAGAGCTTGGATAGATAGAAACGATGTAGGAATTCTTGATACTTCTAAACTATAAGCATTCTTAACCAACTTTATGATTCATCCATATTAGGGCACACACGTCTTAACCACAGGGCTTTTTAGCTTTTCCTGTCAGCCTCACTCGTCTAGAAAGTGTTGCTCTATATTCAGTGCCTTGTGGGTGCTAAATAAATATTGATGAAACAAACCAAGTAATGAATCATGTCTGCTCTCAGTGTGGGTGCTTGGAAATGTGGAAACATCGAAGTGAGCTGAATTCTCTAATCAGTGAGACACAGCTGGGCTAAAGACCACTGGAAGGAGGGTGGGGAGCTAGGGCTGTTCCCCTTCCTTCCATTCTGTGATACGTTAGGATTGGAGTGGTCATCTACTACCACGTCCCACTGGGTGGGTGGAGACTGTCCACACACATCCCACAGGATCCTTACCATTGCTCAAGGATGAGCCTGGGCAATGATCCTCTAGCCTGGTGAATAGGAGGCTTGCTGTTGGTGACCAACACCCCTGACATGTGACATAGGCAGAGGATGGGGCAGACAGAGGCAGAGGGTTTGTGAGGAAAGCTCTTTATTCCACACAGAGGAAGAGGGAAAAACTCCAACACATAAACACAATCGTTTTAGCAGGAATCTGTATAGCAGATTCTGTAAAGGGTCAGGTAAATTGTTTAAGGTCCTCTCCTCTGCTGTAATGGCTTCACCTCTGTTGGAGTCTGCAGGTGTAGTATGAAAGCAGCCATTGACAACAGGTGAATAAAAGGGAATGCTTGTATTTAAGTAAGACCTTATTTATGGGTACCAAAAACCA